ATTCTATTCTATTCTATTCTATTCTATTCTATTCTATTCTATTCTATTCTATTCTATTCTATTCTATTCTATTCTATTCCTTATTCTATTCTATTCTATTCTATTCTATTCTATTCTAGAATGGGGCAAACCTCACTTCACAACTCTTGCCTAGCAACACAAATTTTGGGCTCAACTATGGGCGTATGTCGAGGACTATTCAGGCTTCTAAGAAGGCCAGAAGCTGTGCTTAAAGGCGGGCGATCCTTTCTTGATTTTCCCTGAGATGCGATCTTGTCAGTAACCAGATCTTGCCCGGAGCCACGTGGGCCGACCGATCTGGAAAATATGACACTCCTCTGGGTGCTGAAAGCTTTGTGGCCAAATGGGGGCTGCCAGGTTTATGGGATGGTCACCGATGGATAGTCCAGAACCAGCCGTGAGCTGGGGAGGATGGGCTATGGAATCAGGGCCTGCTTTTAAAAACCACAATGTCTAGAAATAGGCCATGTCTGCCTGCCTGCCTGCCTGCCTGTCTTTCTCTCTCTCTCTTCTATCTGGCATTTCACCTATCAGTCTATCTATCTGATCTCTCTCTCTCTCTCTCTCTATATATATATATATATCTATCTATCTATCTATCTATCTATCTATCTATCTATCTATCTATCTATCTATCTATCTATCTATCTATCTATCTTCTCTCTCTCTCTCCCTCTCTCCCTCTCCCTCTCATTTCTGTCTGTCTGTCTATCTATCTATCAATCATCTATCTATCAATCTATCTATCTATCTATCTCTATTATCTATCTATATCTATCATCTAATCTCTCTATCTATTTATCTCTCTCCATCATCTATCCTTCCATCTCTCCTTGTTTCTCTCATCCCTCTCTCCAATCTTCTATTGTTCCATCTCATTCTCTCTCTCTCTCTCCATCCATTTATCCATCTATCTAGTCAACCATCTCCCCATCTATGTCTCCTTCCATTCTCTCTCTCTCTCCATCTATATTTCATAATGTAGGCATTATTATTAATAACATTATCAACAATTATGTCATTGTCATTATTACTGTCAATATTATTAATGCCATAATTATTATTAATGTGTTCATTACTGTTAGTCATTGCAACGAGAGAAAAAAGTGGCTTGGATATATATTTGTGAAAATAATAAAAGTGGAAATAAGGAAATAAATTATTAAATCATCTTCATTACTATTAATAAAGCCATCATCATTATTAATATTATAATATTATTATTGTTAATGGCCATCACTGCTATTATTAAAAGTGTCATAATCATTATTATTAGTGGCAATTGTAACCACAACTGAGCCCCAAATTTATGTTACTAAGCGAGATATTTGTTAACTGAGTTTTGCCCCATTTTATGACCTTTCTTGCTGCAGTCGTTAAGTGAATCACCGCATGTCTTAAGTTAGTGACATGGTTTTTAAGTGAACCCAGGTTCCCCATGGACTTGGCTTGTCGGAAGGTTGCAAAAGGGGATCATGTGACCCCAGGACATTGCGACCGTCGTAAGTATGAGTCAGTAGCCAAGCATCTGAATTTTGTCACGGTTTGTGATGGTTGCAAAATGTGAAAAATTGCTGGTTTTTTCAGTGCCTTGTTGTAACTTCAAATGGTCACTAAATGAACGGTTGTATGTCGAGGACTACCTGAATTAAAAAACTGCAACAAGGAGCTCGGATAAACCCACCCAGGCTCCACCTGGTTCTCCCTGGATGCGGGAGGAGAGATTGACGTTCCTTGCAAATTCTTCTTTGATGCCTGCGGTTTTCCAGACATCTGCATAGCACGGAAAGGGAAGATGTGCACGAAACGGGTTTTCTGCAAACCAGACCTTGCCAGAAACCCCTTCTTGGAAGGGGGTGAGGGGATAAACTAGAGGGGTGGGGAGGCAGACCTCCCCCCTTCCTCATTTTGCCAGCCGTTGCAGAAACGACAACACCGAAATGAGGGAAATATTGAATTTCGACCGCCAAGAAGACGGTGGGTTGGACATGCAATATATAATATTTTATATATATATATATAAAATGGTCTTGGCATGCAAAAACAAGGATTTTGAGGCTGCAGGGGTTTGGAACCAGGAAATCCCCTGGCAATGAAAGTCTTAATAGAGAATAACAGAGTTGGGAAGGGGCCTTGGAGGTCATCTAGTCCAACCCCTGACTCGAGAAGGTGATTCTATACCGTTTTGGACAAAGGGCTGTGCCAATTTATAATATCTGTTTTTGTGGGAGAGCTGGGGAAGAGGAAGATAAAAAAAAAAACCATAGGACTTCCTCCTTTTTATAAGATTTTATTTATTTTTTACACGCGTGTGAATAGTTGTAGAGGCAGTCCTCAACTTACAACAGTTCGTTTAGTGACCGCAGTTACAACAGGACTGAATAAAAGGGGACTTAGGGCCGTTTTTCATACTTAACAGCCATCACAGCATCTTCATGTGATCTGACTTGAGGCAGCTGACTCGTATTTATGACGGTTGCTGTGTCCCAGGGTAAATGCGATCCCCTTTCGTGACCTTCATACAAGCCAATGGGAAGCTAGACTCACTTAACAACCATGTGACTAACTGAATGACTGCAGGCGTTCAATTAACACAGCCGTGGCAAGAAAGGTGGTAAAATGGAGCAAAACTCACTTAACAACCGTCTCGCTTAGCAACAGATCAAAATTCATACTTATGTTCCTGTTTATGGCTGGTTCCTATTTACAACCGTTGGGGCTGTCCCTGGGTCATCCTGTGTTCCCCTTTTTGTGACCTTCCAACGAGCAAAATGGGTTCGCTTAACAAACTGTGTGACTAATTAACAACCGCAGTGGCTCACTTAGCAACGGTAGCAAGAACGGTCCTCCAACGGGGGAAATTTTTGCTCCAAAAACCCTGTAGCTGCAGAAACGGCGGGTTCAGCTGTGGTCGTAAGTCAAGGACTGCTTGTATCCTCTCTGGACTACCTCACAGGGCTGGCAGGACCCCCTATTGCTCTCCACA